AAACATCAAGTACAATAACGCGGTAAAACTCCACTACTCCAATGACTAGATACTTAAATTCCAATACAATTCAACGAGATCTCCGATCTGAACTCAGTGCTGAACAACTCCCCTATATATACCCCCACTGTCTATAAATAGACCATTACATCAGCATACATAATGAGTCTGCAACTTACTACAAATTCCTAGAATGTTCCATTACCTTCTATTGCCTCCTACAGTGTTCTATTACCTATTCAACCAGTTTCTAAAAAAACATTCTAGAATATTCCACCCAGACACAGTACGGTTCTAGAACATTCTCAGTGACACAGAAGTGGTAAATAAGTCGTATGCGACATCTATAAATGGTCAAATGTTTATTGGTCGAAGTAAAAAACTAGGAGGGTATCAGAGAACAGATTTTATTTAGGAACTCCCGCTAGAGCAACTACACAAATCATAATTAACAGCTCCTAAGGGAATGGTATTTCCAGATTAACACCAGTTGTTCATGACACATAAAACATTAAAGGAAACATCAATCCAAACAACATAATGACCCCTAAAGAAAAAGCTCCACAAATGTAGGAGAATGAAATTTACCGTTTTTCTTTATATCACTTTTCATTTTCTAAATATTCAACTTTTCATCAGTATTATGTAGTCAGCCATCTTGATTTTCAAGCAAAGTAAAGTATGACATCATAGAATCTGTTGTCAGAAATTGAAAAAAATTATTTCATCTATAACTTCAAAGGTTGAACTTCAAATTGGCTGAAAGTTTAGAAATTGGTAGCATACATGTGCTGGTGCCACCATGTTCATACAATAGTTGTCATGGAAACTGACAATATTTATTTTTATGTTTTTCTACCAAATGCTCAAATTTCCTCATATTGTATACAATTTACCAATGTAAGTAGGTTATATAGGCGATATATTACATGTCATTATATATTTCACGACTAAAATATTGATTTTTATGTTTATTTATGTGTATTTGTAATATTCTAATTTCCATTACTATAATTATATACATGAGCAATATGCACAATGAAAATTTGAACTAATTCGCATCAGTATTTCTCATGTTATAAATAAAATAATTTTCTCAATTTCTGACAACAGATTATATGATGTCATACTTTACCCATAATCCTTTGCTAGAGAATCAAGATGGCTGACTACATAATAATGACATAAAGTTGAATATCTAGAAAATGTAAAGTGATATAAAGAAAAAATGTAAATTTCATTCTCCTACATTTGTGGAGCTTTTTCTTTAGGGGTCATTATGTTGTTTGGATTGATGTGTCCTTTAAAGTCAGTTCGCCGTGATGTCAGTTCTACGAGACGTCCGTTGAGACTTGTAACTTCTCTGCAATAGTTGTGTACGAGCTTCATACAATCATGTCCAACGTGGTTACGCCAGATGGAATAGCCCCGAGCATGTGATCAATGCGTAGATTTATAGGTATCAATCAATACTCGGTATTCAAATTTTCCTGATAAGACGATCTGTTCCCTGGACCATACCATTCCAACAAGGGGTGTATGACCCATCATTTACATAGTGGCAATGATAGTTCACACATCACAATCTTAATTCACTTCCTTAATATTATAGTATTAACCGTTACATGAAAGAACTTAAGACTCGAAACAATTATGCAACGAAATCAGTCTGTATATTGCAAGCACCATTGTGACGAGGTGAATGACAGATAAAAAAGATTTGCATTGATCATAAGAGGGAACCGAACTACAGATTAGTGTCTAGCATAATCATTTCCAAGTATGTGCAAATTTTCTACTGCCATGGACCCCATGCACCACCGTGTTTTGATGGGTCACTTCTCGGATCAGGGTCTGGAAACCTGACAGGTACGGCGGTCTCATAGTATGCTGCTAACTTCGCTAGCAGTTCCTTGACCTTGGCTGGCTGAGAATTTGACAAATCGAATTTCTCGTTGGGATCGTCTTTGATGTTGAATAGCCACAGATGCTTGCCAGGTTTATCAGGAGAAATGATTGGTTTCTGACCCGATTCGGGTGGTGGGATCCAACTTCCGTTTCCTGTGAAAAGGATAACTCACTTATAATTTTCGGCATTCAGCTTACTTAGGCGGGGATGAGACAAGTGTGTAAATTACATCGTAAGCAACGTCACGAACTCAGTCGGCAACGCACAGATATATTCTTCTTTTCACTAAAAATTCACAGGAAAGCACAATATCACGATTTAAAGGGGGAAGCCAAGGCAAACAACACAATGCAACATAATGTAAGACAGTGGATGTGATGTCACACTTTTCCGACAATCCTCTGTAAAGCGAAACGCATCCGAATGATTTCTTCCCGATACAACATGTCAAATATACAACTCACATTGAAACAACGTTGCGGAAAACGAAATAAAATGCGTTCTAATTCGAGTAGTTTAGTAGTTTTTAAAGCATGGAAAGAATCAACCCCGAAAACCAATAACTGGATTACCGATGAATAATTAGTTTAATTTAATTTAATCCACGTTTATGTAAATATCTGAAAATCAGTCACTGGAAAACTAACTTCAATGAGCAGTTACGTGCAATCAACACCAACTACAGTTTCATTCTGGGTTCCCCACCACGCAACCAACGGCAGAAATCAGTCGAGGCCTATTGCTATCGTGTACCTTGCCATGGTAATTATTCTCATCACCAACCTGGATCTCCTGTGATTAATTTCCAATCTCCAACTCTGATGGCGCTCCTCATTGACGTGTGAACATGTCATGCCACTAGTGATGTTCGTCATGTACTTTGGTGGAGAGAAAAGC